TAAGGACAAAAAGAATACAGAGAAATTTCAAATAGTATTCTGCAGCCTTATTTTTTATCAATAACAAGTGGTGCTGTTGACATTGTTATTTGAAACTACAAGCACACACACACACACATACACACACACACATCACCACAATGTTATTAGGAATCAAGAACTTTTAGTGTAAAAGTAAAGAAAATTAACATTAAATCAAAGAAGTTAAGATCCCTGTAATCTTAAATGTGACTTAGAAATACAAGTAAAAGGCTGGATGTGGTGGCTCACGCCTGTAATCCCATCACTTTGGAAGGCTGAGGTGAGCAGATTGATTGAACTCAGGAGCTCAAGACCAGCATGGGCAACATGGTGAAACCTTATCTCTACAAAAAAAAAAAAAAAACACAAAAATGAGCCAGGAGTGGTGGCATGCATCTGTAGTCCCCAGCTATTGAGGGGGAGGGATATTGAGGCCAGAGGATCACTTGAGCAGGAAGGTGGGAGAGGGGGTTGCAGTGAGCCCAATAGAGCCACTGCACTCCAGCCTGGGTGATAGAAGTGAAACGCTGTCAAAAAAAAAAAAAAAAAAAAAAAAAAAAAAAAAAAAAAAAACAGAAATGCAAGTGAAAACTCATGATGTACTTTTACTTTTAAATAAAAATAAATACATATTTTCTAGCCCAGTAAAAATATTATTTCCTTGATTTCCAAAAAAAAAAAAAAATACCTAGAAGCAATGAAAACCAAGTAGTATCCAGACTTTAGTTTACAAAGAGTTGTCCTAGGAATGCATTGGGGAAAAAACGTCTGATTCCAGATCTCATCAGAAATTGTATGAGATGCAAGAAAGCTAACGAAGACTATCAGGGAAATGTCAAAAAGACAGAGAGACCAGTCCAAAAGGATTCTCACTGACTGAGGATGGCATAATTTAAGCATCAAAAAGAACAATGATTGCAGCCAGTCAAACTATATCAAAGAAGTTAAAAATCGATGAGTTCATAATAATAGCATTGGTCACAATGGAGATTGCTAGAACAACAAATTGTTATTCTGAAAACTGATATATAAATGGAAAGAATAGAGCATTTATCTGGACTTTCTTGTACAAACTATTTTCAGGGGAAACGAATTAGCCAATGACCAAAAGTTCTTATTCATAGAATTATTTCAGCTAACAAATGCAGAAACAATTATTGTGTGAGGATATCAGCGTTTCATAACCCCAAAAAAATAACGAATCTGGCAGTGACCATGATTAGCTGCCAAATCCTTAGACGACAGCTGGTGAGAAATTTCTTTCAGGATGGAGGAGGCTGACATCACCTGATCCCACTGATGAATCTACATATCCCAAAGGAGAAACCTCAGCCTCCCAGTGCCCCTGTGAGCTGCAGCAGGAAGAACATGGCAATAAGTGGGAAATAGTTTTGCAAAAACTTCCAAATCTGATCAAGCCTCTAGATCTAATTATTAACTTACCCAGAACAAGGTAGAAGAACACCACCACAGGGTGTAGTCAGGCAAATCCACAGTGTGGAAAATTCTGCAGGGCAAATGATTCAGTGTCTTCAACATATAAATAACAAGGAGGAAAAAGAAGAAGGGAGAACTGTTGGTTGAGATAGACAGATACGTATATACATACCAAATATAAGGTGTACACTTGTTTATTTCCTTTTTTAATCACCTGAAAAGAATCAGGAAAATTTAAGCATTGACTAAATATTAGATGATATTTAGGAATTATTTTTCATATTTCTAGTTTGATAATGGCAAAATTTTTATTTTTTAAATAGTCTCTTTTGATTAGAGACGCATAGTTAAACGTTTATGACCAAAATGGTATAAAAATCTGGATTGTCTTTTAACTAATTCAGTGGGAGGAAGGGAAAACTAAAGCATGGATGGGAGGATATAAGTGAAACAATAAAAAATTGTGGACAAATGCTTATATCTGCTCTCCACAGATACTAATAAATTAGGGGTTTTTTGTTGTTGTTGTTGTTTTGGTTTGGTTTTTTTTTTGAGACTGAGTCTCACTCTGTCGCCTAGGCTGGAGTGTAGTGGTGCAATCTCAGCTGACAGCAACCTCCGCCTCCCAGGTTCAAGCAATTCTCATCTTTTGCCTCAGCCTCCCGAGAAGCTGGGATTATAGGCGCATGCCACCACACCCAGCTAATTTTTGTATTTCTAGTAGAGACGGGGTTTCACCATGTTGGCCAGGCTGGTTTCAAACTCTTGAGCTCAAGTAATCCGCCCGCCTCGGGCCTTCTAAAGTGCTGGAATTACAGGTGTGAGCCACTGCGCCCAGCCAAATAGTTCTTAATTCTATCCGAAAATAAGAATGGCACACAGTTTTGTGACAATAATTTTAGTTTTTAATTTAAGATTACTTAAAATATATCCTAAATATTTTCCTCACCCCAAGCACAATGGACTGACAAAACCAACAGCCCCTCCCTCCAACCCTAGGGTTCCTGTTGGGGAAACAGCAGCTGAACTGTAGCAGATCGCTGGGTCACCATGCCTCCCCAACTCCCAGCCTCAAGCCCCAGCCAGGTGTGTAGTCGCATGGCTGCTCCTGTAAAGGCAGAAACCCAGTTACCTGACCACCCAGCTGCAGGAGTGTGGTCTCCTCTGCTCCAAGCAAATCTTGAGGGCTCAACACAATGTTTTCTGCTAATTTTCTTGACATCTTATGCCTATACCAATCTTTTAGATTGGAGATTCAAGGTAGACACCTTTCCCTGCTCCTTCTTGTTAAACCAACCCTCACCCCTTTTAGAATTCTTAGCCATATCCTTTTCCTGAAAGACTCTTGCCTTGATAATTTGGTTGAGACGTTCTCTCTGTCTTCCTGGCATGTGGAATAACAAACACCTCTAACAACAGATGTATTGTTGCTCACTGCTTGTCAAACTTAGCCAACCTGAAATCACTATCACCATAGACAACAGGCTTCTAAAGATTCGGGACAGACAAAAAGGCCAAAAATCCACCATCTATTCAGCACCAAGGGCTCTGTGGATGCTTAAGCACAGTGGACAATCAGTGAATGAGACACTGCTGGCCAGTGGCTGTCCTGCTGACCTGTCACCTTGTTGAGGGACACAGGATGGTGAAATAGAGCCGACCTGAGTTTTGAAGTTAAACAGATGTTGGTTTGGAATCAAACCAGCTTCTTACTATGTATTTTAATTTGGGCAATAACTTTTGCTTCCTGAACCTCAGGTGCCTCGTTTGTGAGCTTGGTGATCTTGCCTCACTGGATTGCTGTAAAACAGCACATGCAGCCGGGGACAGTGGCTCCCACCTGTAATCCCAAAACTTTGGGAAGCCGAGGTGGGTGGATCACCTGAAGTCAGGAGTTCAAGACCAGTCTGATCAACATGGTGATCCTGTCTCTACTGAAAATACAAACATTAGCAATGCATGGTGGCAGGTACCTGTAGTCCCAGCTACTCGGGAGGCTGAGGCAAGAGAATTGCTTGAACCCAGGAGGCGGAGGTTGCAGTGAGCTGAGATCACGCCATTGCACTCCAGCCTGGGTGACAAGAGCGAAACTCCGTCTCAAAAAAAAAAAAAAAAGACAGATACAAGACCTGAGCACTAAGCCCCAGGGTGAGGGCCCTGGCAAGGGTCTTCATAAATTCCAAAAGGGCTACTTTGGCAGCCAAAGTGGATTTTTCTGGAACATTATGTGCATGCTCAAAGCAAACAGTTTAATTCATCTTCTCATCTTGTTCCAGAAGTCCTCATTTATCTTTTGGGTTTCCGGCCTCACTCTCCAGCCCTGGAAGCCTTTGACCCCAGCCCCCTTCTGAGTTCAGGGCTCTTGCATTCAGTGGATCATGTGGTATCCCACACCCCCAGTCACTTATCTTGATAAGGCACCGTGGGAGGGAAAGCTTTGGCAAGGACCATTTCGTCTGCCACACGGGTGCAGAACGAGGGAGGACAGTTACGAGGTTCTACAGCTCTCTACTCATCTGAAAATGATGAACCATTTCCTGCCAAGACCAAGCAACGTGCTAAGTAATGATCTGGTAATGGCATCTGCTGTCCTCTGCCCGGCGCATTCCTCTTCCTGTGTGGACACAGGAAAGACTTAATAGTCTGGCACACTTGTTCATCCCATGCATTCCTTGTTCGCTGCTGTTTTAAGGCCTGGTGACTTGGAGTACGTGCCAGTGGTGAAGGGTGAGTGTGTTTGACAGGAGTTCCCAGGGATATCTGGGGCAGAGGGTTGCCCTCTACCTTAGTTGAGGGTCGATCGTGGGCCAGGAAGAAATGGACAAGGTCTCATTCCATTCAATCCCCTGGACAACTCCAGGAGAGGGATGAGTTGGGCAGGATTACCACCATTTGAGAGTGAAAAAACTGATGTTCAGAGCAGGTAAGTAATGCATTCAAGGTTGCACAACTAGTAAATACTTCATCTCAGATTTCAACACAATGAGTTTGATTCCAAAACCACTATTTGTAACCACTGTGTTACACACTCCTAAACAAAGCCAGCAACTGTAGAATCTAAACAATACAACTGGAGATACATACACATCTGGACAATTATGGCCACAATATACACAAAATTCAGGGTTTCATGGCAGGGAGGAATGGGATCTTGGAAGAACACAAAGACAGCTTCTCAACTTAGTGGTAAGTTCACGCATGTTCATGTTATATTGGATTTCATAACTTGTGTGTATGTGTGTGTGTGGGTGGGTGGGTGGGTGTATGTAGCAAACAGTATATAAAGAATATATCTAATGCGTTTTTCAAGACCTAAACAGATGCCCTCGGGGTGAATGATTTTCACCAAGAAAGGTAAAGAAATGTATTCATCAGAACTATTGTGCCGAATATGATACTAGGTGCTATTAAAGATTTAAAATACAGTTCCCGTCTGCCTGATATAAGGAGCTGAGCCTAATGTGTGTGAGAAATCGTTTTAGAGGTTTCACAGAGGTCATCTGACCATTGACTTACTTTAAAAGGATTTTTCTCTAATCTAGAGAAAGGATGCTCAGAAAAAGACTAGAATCGCAAGCGCGCTCCCAGGGCTGTGCTTTGTGGGTTGGGGCCTGACTCTCGCCAGGTGGGAGAGCTCCTGGGGGCTCTATTCCTGCTGCCCCGGCATCAGCAGCCATGGGGCTCAAGGAAACCATGGGCTGGGGAGGATCATGTGTCCCTCTATGCTTCTTACATCCTTTTGCAAAGGAGAGGAAAGGCCCTCTTCAGGATGGACCGTCCCCATTGGTAAATCACAGTCAGTGCCATCCATGAGCATAGGAGCTGTTCACTGTGGCAAATACAAATTTAGTGTAAGTGCTCATCTTGGCTCTCCCGGTGGAAGGGCAGGACCTTGAAGACAGGCACATCCCACCACGTCCAGCCTCAAAATTCCTCAGAGTGCAGGTGCAAACACACGTAAAATCGTTGTAAAATTAAGGCAGTGATGGCTGCCTTTAGCATCGCTACATCCTCTATCCTAGAGAATTTCAGTGCTTGCTCACCTGGGCCTGGGCCCCACAGACCACACTAACCCTCGGGATTCCCACCATTCCCCTCCCTACCCCCTGCCACCAGCAATATCTCTCACATCTCATAGTTACTTCTTCCTCTGGATGTGACAAGTGCTATCTCAGAAATCAGGCAACAATATGTTCATGGCTAATAAGCCACTAGAAGCAGTGGGTATGCAGGACCCCAGGCACTTTCCACTCCGGGCTACCTCGGAGACAGGGTGTTGCACAGTGGTTTGGGATGGGTCAGAACCAGAGTCTTCTCATTCCATCCTTCCTCACCCCCAGAGCATAAAGTAGCCCTGTTCCTAAATGCAATGCTCTTTCAAACACCAGCTGCACACAATCGAAAATAGCCTGAGAAAGCCTGTTGTACCAGCGTTCACACCTGCCTATTTAGAGTGGGATGAAGAGCAAATGACACCTGCTCCCAGCTGGCCCTGAGGCTGGACGCAGCACAGACTGAGCCAGTGTCCTCGCCCCCAAAGAGGAGGCTTCCTCCAGCCTCACAGACACCTGAATTCTCTGGCACTTTCCATCCCACACACTGTGCATGGTCTATCCACTCTCCTTTTTATTCCCAGAATGATAACTCCAGAACAAAGGAGAGAGTCCATGGACAGCTTTGTGTTGATGCACATAAGTAAATGGGAGGTGGGGAGGACAAGTGGCATGAGGAGGGAGGATCCGCCTGGGAGAGGAACATGGAGTCCTTCCCCTGGGCAGGGAGGCCAGCACTGATGGTGGCGCAGTGGGGGCCCAAGTGTGCCCTGATGGTAAATTCCCCATGGAGCACACCAACAGTTGCTGACCTACATGTAACAGTTTGCTCTTTGATTCCTTTGCTAGGGCTTCACTCGGGCACACAACTTCATGTTTGCTATTTGTTTTTTGTTTGTTTGTTTTTTGAGAAGGAGTCTCGCTCTGTCACTCAGGCTGGAGTGCAGTGGCACGATCTTGGCTCACTACAAGTTCTGCTTCCTAGATTCACGCCGTTCTCCTGCCTCAGCCTCCCAAGTGGCTGGGACTACAGGCGCCCGCCACCACGCCTGGCTAATTTTTTTTACTTTCAGTAGAGACAGGGTTTCACCATGTTAGCCAGGATGGTCTCAATCTCCTGACCTTGTGATCCGTCTGCCTCAGACTTCCAAAGTGCCGGGATTACAGGCATGAGCCACCGCGCCCAGCCCACTGATACTTGTTATGTAATCAACTAATGACAAAAGAGTGCAGAGGCATGATGAGTGTTACATCTGCCAACTGCTGGGTTGTCTGAATAGATTCTCAAGTGACCATCTGAGGGCCACTCAGAAGTTTCAGTAGTGCCAGAAGGTCTTGACCTATTATTTTTTAATCAAGTAATTCTTAGGTTTTTTAAAATAATTCAAACTAGGAAAAAAACAAGTCCTGGATAATCATTTTGTAGCAGCATCACTGCCAAGCCCTTTGCAATGACAACTTCCCAGAAGCTCTTATCTGCCCCCAAATTACTCTTATCTGCCCAAAAGTAAAGAAAGTTTCAATTCAGCAAGTCAGAGCAATTCACAGAGAAGAAGCAATGCCCTGACCTCTGGCATAGAAAACTAGAAGTTGGTCCTTCTCCATTTCTTCTGTTAACCAGGATTCTCTTGGCATTTAATTTTACAAGGGCCACAGACAACTCCAGGGATCTCAATGCAATCCTGCTTCTGGACGGGACAGAGAAGGCATCAGCCGCACAGAGGAGAAAATCACAGCTGTCCTTTCATTCTGTTCAAGCACACATGAAGCTCCTAGATTCATCCACTGCGTGCCAAACACCTGGGACAGTCAGAGAAGAATAAGAATGATGCCAGCCTTCTAAGAGCTGGCAGAACAGTGAGAGGGCAGGCTCAAGACATGGCACAGTCAAACACAGACAGAAAGCTGTGGTATCTCAGAGGAAGATGGCGAGATCTGGAAAGCTCCCAGAGAAGACGGGACTGGAGCTGGGCTGCTTAGCACTGAAACAGTGGATTTGGGGAGAATATTTGCATGCAAGTAAAACATGCAAAACATGTTCAAATAATAACCAAATGTGGTAGAAATGTGGAGTGAGAAATATTGAAATGTCCACAGCTCAGGAAAAAATGTTTTCCAGCCAGCATCCCTGACCCTCCCCCCATTCCCAGGTCTAGGGCATCTAGAGCACCAAAATCACCTGCAACTCTCATCTTCCCTGGCTCCTCCTTACTTCACTTTTGATCCAAAAGTACATACTGGCCTCATCTCATCATTTAAAAAGCCATTTTCAGGCCCCTGTCAGTGGCTCGATTGAGATACTGCAAGATAATGTGGTTTTTCCTGAAGTCAGAACAAGTTATCAAGTAAGTTCAGAGTAAGTCCTGAACTTTAGAGGGAAAGTGTGCTGATCCAGGCAGAATTGTCTAAATGAAAACGCTGGTCATCTTCCTCTGGGTCCCATATTGAGCTCGAGTTGGAAGAGGTGAGTCCTGTCTCAAAATGGAGGTCAAACCGCCACCCGGTGCCCCCCAGCCCGACTCGCCCCCAGCCCGACTCACCGCCAGGGGGAGGAGGGCCATGATCCAAAGGAACCAGAGCAGTTGAGAAAACTGTTTATTGGTGGTCTGAGCTTTGAAACTACAGATGATAGTTTAAGAGAACATTTTGAGAAATGGGGCACACTCACAGATTGTGTGGTAATGA